GAGGGCCTCTGATAAAGCCATGGCAAAGGAGATGCACTGGAACGTGATGTGGGATGGGGACTGCTTTGCACTGTTGTCTGCCATCGCTCCCCTCCAGCACACAGAGGAACTTCCAAGGAACTTAGGGCTGCCAAGACCCCAGACAGCACTCATCCATTCCCACAGTCCTCATCAAACTCAGGATGTTGGGGTCAAAGACAGTTCTCAGTGCATGTCAGTCCTCAGGACTGCAAAGAGTTCCTCAGATGGAAAGCAAGAATGGTTAGTGTCTGAGGGCTACAAGGGAACCGAGAGAACCAAGCCCTGCAGCCTCAGGGGGCAACAGGCCCACAAGGACAACAAGAAGGGAGTTCGCTGCCCACCAGCACCTGAGGACAGAGCGGCTCAGGCCAAGGAGACCAAAGAGACGAGGAGCACAAGGAAACGGCCTGCAGCAGGAGGTGGGACACGGCTCTCCGGCACCACTGAAGGCCTCGCACACAACCCTTGATCACAGCCACATCCACCCACTTGGCTGATCACTAGAACAAGGCTAGCAGGTAGCACCCGTGGCCAAGTTCTTTCATTTGTTAAGAAATGAAAAGTCAGTCTCCTTTTTCTAAACAAGGACGCGGTCTCAGCACCTTTGATGTCTCACAGTCAGATCACACAGTCTGCTGTGTCTAAGGCACACCAACAGATGAGACAAAGTACGGAGCGTGGAAGGTTCTAGAGCAGCCTCCCAAACAGACCAGCAGGAGGGAAGCTTCAGTAGACTTACAGATGGAGCACAACCATTTCACAGGTAGTTGTATGGCAAAGCCACACAGAGCTGGGGACCCAACTCACTGACCACGAGACTCCATCTGTTTTTCCAGCGCTGGGAACAAGAATAACTCAGGAGGCAGTAGTTTGTCACCCCACTGCTCTATATCACCATGGTCACAGATGGTTTGGGGGGAAACTGTAGAGATTTGGCTTAATTTTCCAAGTTATTAATGATTCGGTCTCTAACCACCTGCACCTAAATGCCAGAACAGCTGCCTTCCTGCAGGGACAGCACAGATCCCATAGCCGAGTGAACTGTACGTGAGCAGTCTCTCCCAAACATTTCTGGGTGGATAAAGAAAGGCCAGAGGAAACTAGCTGGCTGATCATCAAACAAAGCCCACAGAGCCTTCCTCTAATAAAAAACACCTTCATTGTGCAACAACAACTTTATTCACAACTGAAATAATCCTCTCTATCTAAGCAATCTCCAGCACAAGCTAAGAACTGCTATGATAAAAATTCAACACAAGCATAACCCACCGCCAGCAGAAATTCAGACTGCCATTTATTTCACACAGGGTTAGCTTAGATACTGCAGTAGAGAATGTAATAAGGAACCACACTACATGGGAAGACTCACTGTTGAATACATATGGAGACAGTTGCTCAAGCCTAATCACAAAGTGTAAAGAAATGAGACTCCCAAACCAGCATATTCACAATGTTCCTAATTTTCCCGTAGTTCCCAGGTTGGTGATTGAATCCCCTCCTTGTACCTTGCCCACGAGTCCACTTCTGCCTTTGACCTTGTGATTTCAAGGCTGGTGACTACTGGTTCTCTCTTTGCTTGGGGCTCTCACATCTCATTTCATTTCTCATTATCAGTAACAAGCAGATCAAGGACAGACTCTCCTCTACTTGCATTCTTTTGCTATCTTACAAATGAAGTATCTGTATTGATTATTGTCTTTTGTCATCCAGTAGCTACTGGGATGGTTATTCTGTACGGTCAAGATACGCACCCCAACTTTCACCGTGCTCTTGAAACCAAACCAACTCCTACTGAAAGCTCCCGAGGAAATCCACCACACAGCACAGGATCCAGTGCAACCATCAGATCTAGCATGAGACCCATGCTTAACATCAATGCCAAGCAGAAATTCACAAGAGTCAATTTTCTTTTAACAAGGGACACAACTTCTGAACACAGCATTTGGTGAATGTTTGAGGATCCTCAGCCTTTTTCCAGGACAGGACACCAACAATCAGCATTTCCTTTGTAACACAGTTGTGCTTCAAACAGAACCATACACAAAGCCTCCTGTGGCTCCCGCAAGACAGAGGAACTCACGTTACTCCACCTCAAACTCTTTTCTGCAGTTCTCAAGATAAAGAGAAGTCAGATGTTTTGCCATTCTCCTCCTCTCTGATACTAATTCCTTGCAGCCCTACCATATGAAACCATTGAATTTCATTAGATCTAGCTGATGGCTATCAAACCCCCTCACTAGCACTGGCTAAGAGACACTGGTCTTACCACGGCTTCCATGCCTGTGACCTCCTGTCCCAAGGGGCCTCTGCCTGCCCAGCACTGCCCTCCCTGCAGAGCTCCCATCCCACAGCAGAACCACGCCATGGGACAGTCCCTCGCTCAGACCTGTGCCTTCAGATACGTTCCTCCCTCACATCGTACTCTCACAGAGCTCCCCAACTCCACATCTCCCCAGACACAGCCTCTCTCTCATTAGGTAACTGCCTCCAGCAGTTCTTTGATAACATTCCCCAAACCTGCTCCTACCCTTCCCCAAAAGCTCTTCTGCTCATATGCACCACACTTCAGCATTCCCCCCAGGGCCCCCCAGCATCCGGACTGCTGGGTGGCTCTGTCAGTCCCTACATGCTGGCGCATCCTTTTCAGGAGCCCAATCTGACCTCCCCCATGCTGACACAACAGCTGCCCTGCTCTTCATAGAATGGACTGGGTTGGAAGAGACCTCAAAGCCCATCTAATTCCACCCCTCCTGCCATAGGCAGCGACACCTCCCACCAGACCAGACTGCCCAAAGCCCCTTCCAGCCTGGCCTTGAACACTTCTGGGGATGGGACATCCACAGCTTCTCTGGGCAACCCGTTCCAATGCCTCACCAGCCTCAGAGTGAAGAATTTCTTCCTCATATCTAACCTAAGTCTCTCCTCTTTTAGTTTAAAGCCATGACTCCTTGTCCTATCAATACACTCCCCAATAAAGAATCCCTCTCCAGATTTCTTGTCGTTCCCTTTTCATGGCAAGGCACCATCTCAAACCACTCTCTCCCAATACCTCTCACAGGCTGCTGCCTGTTTGTGGACACGCTGACACCCTTGTTAGCTCACAGCCAACCTCCAGCACCACCTCAGGGACCTCCACGTGCCCCAGCTCCTTTATCCCACAGATTGGGTGCCAGAGCATTCCTCCCACCACCTGAAGATCACCTCGTTTCTAAGCAGCACACACCAAACATGACAAAGCACCAGTTGCAGCATCTCTGCTCCTGCTGTTGGTTTCCATTGTACCCATCACTACCTGCCTGCAAAGACAGGACACCCAGTCCAATGACTGTCAGTATTCCTATCCTTGTAAAAATAAATCAGCATCACAAAAGCAGTAAATAATTAAGTACTGCCCATCTACACTGTCTTAAGATCTTTTATAAACGAGTCACTAAAGTGATTCTCAATTCTTATTAAGCCTTCTCAGCCACAAATTAGGAAAGCCAGCTGAGAGTGCCTCCAGCTCCGAGGATGTATTCCCCACTTGAAGTCCTCTTTTCCCTGCCACAATACGTCCCACAACTTGCTTTCTCTCTGGAGACCATATGAAAAAGACATTCAAACAATTACAGGTGAATACATGAATTAAAGATTCTGGTGCAATTACTAAGGATTGGCATCAGGACCACCTACTTAATACAAATATGTACATAATGCAAATACAAATGTCTGAAGAGATGAATAATTGTGTGATAGAAAGCACAGGATAAGCAGGTGAAGACAAAAAGACAGGAAAGGTGCCTGTGACCCAGAAGCCCTGTCCAGCTGGTAATCCCTTCCAGCCTTTTGGCAACCTTTATCCCATGGCCACAAGACAAGCAGCTCCACACATCAAACGACCGTTGACTCCAAGTGCACAAAGCCCTGCCATCTGGCACATCAGCCTGATCACAGATGCTTCATGTCTACACCTCTTCCTCTGCTGAGAGGAAAAGAACACACAGGTGGGGGCAAGAGGCAAGTCTGCTTGGACTGGCACCTCCCCGGCTGAGGTTTTCAGCATCCTCGGCACAGGACGTACATGCAGTCTAACATGCTTCTGTAGGTCTAACACGCTTCTGAACTAGCGATTCAGAGCATGGAACAGCAAGCCCTGTCTCCCAAGCTCAGATTCGTGTTACAGCTAATGCAACTAGTCAGATTAGTGACTGCTCCAGCCCGTATTGTAAGAGGCATCAGCAAAAAAGTGGAGGCAAGGAGATGAAAAGAAAAGAAGATCCTTAAACTTTCTGTGAATAGCTGTGGAATTAGCCTGCTTGCAGAGAAAGTCTTTTCTTATTCCTGTCTGCTGGAAGCTGACTTTTGACCTACCGCAGGGGTTTACATGCCTTTCAAGAAGTCTTCCCAACATAATGGGCAATCCCATTATCCCTCTAAACCTCTCATCTCCCCAACAGTTCTGCATCGCCGTGGCTCCATGGTGCAGGTGGTTGGGAGTTTTGCTCAGAGAGCATTTCCTCGCCAGCTTCCTCCCCTCCGCTCCTGCTGCCCATACCCACAACCAGTGCGCAGTAACTGGTGGGCTGCGCGCCCCTGCCAGCACCCCGCAGACCCCCACACTGGGGCCAACTCCAGGGCCGTGTAGGGTGGACTCGAGGCATAAAGCCAACATCAGGCAGTGCTGGAAAGGGCTCCGAGATGCACCAACCTCTCCTCGGTGCCCCAGCGCCCCGTGCCGCAGGGCTGGAGCCCAGACCCGCACCCACCGCAGGGGCAGCGCCCCAGGGCCCCGCGCCCGCACGGAGCCCCCCACGGCCCCACCGGCGGCCGGGGCTCTGCTGGGGGTCCCCACCCGGGGCCGCTCCAGTGGCCCCAAACCCTGCGGCTCCCCGCGGGGGCTCCACGGGGCCCCCCCCAGCCCCGCTCCGCTGCCGCCGGCCCCGCCCCGCCCCGCCCCGTCCCGTCGCGGCCCCGGCCCCGCCCGGCCCCGCCGCACTCACCCTTGACGGCTTCGCCCCGGTTGAGCTGGATCTCGCCGTCGCCCTGCGGCGCGTAGCTCTTCACCACGATGAACTTGCGGCCGGGCACGGCGCTGTACAGCTTCCGCTTGGGCCCGCGCAGCGGGGCGGGCGCGGCGTGCGGCGCGGGCTCGGGGCCGGGGCCGGGCCCGGGGGGCCCCGCCGGGCCGCCGGGGCTGTAAACGAAGACGTAGGTTACGGTGCTGATGCCCGGCAGCTCGTGGCTCGGCCCGCCGCGGCCCGCGGGCTGCGCCATGGCGGGGACGGCGCGGCCGCGGGGCTCGGGGGGCTCGGCGCGGCCCCGGGGCCGGGGGGCTCAGCGCAGCCCCGGCCGCCGCGGCGCCGCCCGGGCGCGGGCACCGGCTGCGGCTGGGGGGCCGCCGCCCGCCGCCGGCTCCATGGCGCGGCGCCGCCCGCCCCGCGCGGCGCTCCGCTCCCTCCGGCGCCGCGCCGCCGCCGCGCGCACCATGGCCCGGGGCAGGTGCCGCCGCCGGCGGCTCCTCCCCCTGCGGGCGGGGACGGGGCCGGCGCCGGCCCGGCCGCCTCCCGCCCCCCGCCCCCGGCCGCCGCCCCCGCCGCGCCGCGGCTCCGCCGACCCCGGCCGCCGCCGCCGCCGCTGCCTCCCTCCCTCCTTCCCTCCCTCCCTCCCTCCTCCGCCGCCGCCGCCGCCGCCGCGCTCCGCGCCGCCCCCTGGCGGCCGCCGCCGCCCCGGGCCGGAGGGGGCGGGGGGGGCGTAGCGGGGACGGGGGCAGCTGCCGGGGGTCCCGGGGGGGCAGTGCCGGGGGGCGCTGGGGGCGGCCCCGCGCCCGGTCCGGCGGCTGGAGCGGGGGTCCCGGGGGTCGCAGCGCTCCCTGCACGGGGCGGCCCCCGGGCTGCCCCCTCCGATCTGAGCCGGGCCGGGGAGGAGCTCGGGGCTGGCCCCTGCTCGGGGGACCCCCCGGCTGCCCCGCGCCCGCAGCCCCGGTGTGCTCGTTCAGCCCCATGCCCCGTGTTTTACTCCGTGCTCCATGTTTGCAGCTTCGTGCCGAATGCCCGCAGCCCCTGTGCGATGCTTGCGGACCCTGCTCGTTAGCACACATCGTCCCCAGCTCCCCGCATCTCCCGGGGCCACGGGGCCACCTTCCATAACCCAGACGGGGCTGCCCCAAGCCGTCCCTGCTGCGCCCCCGAGGCTGCGGAGCGCAGCCCTGCTCCCTGCCGGGGCTGTGGATTGGGGAGCGGCACGGCCCCACCGCGGGGTCTCCACCTGCGGACCTCCTCCGGCCCGGTGCTGCATGGAGGCGGGGAGGGGAACGGCCGCTGTCCCACGGCTTTTGATGAGCAAGAGGGGCACGGCTTCCCCTCCTGCTCATCAGCACGCTGCCCAAGCCCTCTCACCAAACTTGCTGTCCCCAGGCGCAAAGCTTCAGTAGAAGGCACTGTCACACCGGGGATGTGTGCTGGGTCACCTGCCAGCCTCAGCCCAGAAGTACTGCTCCAGTACTGCGCTGCATTATAGTCCCTCGGGGGAGAAAACACTTTAATAAGAAATAAATAGCTACCCTTTCCTTATAATACTTCTAAATGTCACTCCAGTATCATGATTTAGTCAATGCAGAGATATTAAAGACCAGCTCAGATCTCTAAAAGGCTCCTTCGTGTTTTTAGAAACAGTCACGAGAAGCATGCAGAAAATGTAGGTATTGCAGGCAGCTCCCAGAAATACTTGCTCAATGCAAAGAGGCTGTTGGATACTGCAGCTCTGCACCGTGCTGCATGCTCACGCTGACCCGGTGGTGCCCAGCCCACAGCACAAGACACTCCCGTGGGGGGCTTTGCACGCAGGTGTGTGTGTGCAAGCGCACCAGGCTGCTGCTGGTGCGGCCAGCAGAGCCCCGAGTGCAGTGGGATTGCTGCAGCGCTCCCGTGCTGCGGCTGCGTATCCCTCCAGCTGCACTGACTGCAGCGGTGCTCACGCAGACCCTCACATTCACGAGGCAGTCTGCAAGCAGGATCCCACTCCTGCCGTGTCACTTCCCCAAACTACTCCCTGCAGCCAGCCCACCTCTCAGCTCGGCACCAGCGCTGTTATTCTTTGCAAATACCACCCCTGGACTAAGAGCCAGTCCTTGCACAAATGCCATGAAGATCAAAATGACAGCCTAAATTCTCCATGACTCCTCTTTAGCACTTGCATTGAGGAAGCATTAATTATGTGGCTTGCAATCCAGTTCATATCTGCCATATTGATTTTGTAGCACATTCATTTTTAAATCGTTAAGAAGTTATTAAGTCAAAATGTCTCAGAAGCCTACATGTATTATATTGAAGGTACATTTATAACAAGTTTTGTAATAATTTCAAAGAATACTACCATTTTTGTTTGGTCTGGTTTTTGGCAGGCTCAATTTCAATTAAGGAATATTAATTAGTTTAATCCTTTTTCATGTTAATGCTTACTTGATAGAGATCTGTGTCAGTCATGCAGCTGCTCCAGGTTCAGACTTTACTCTAGGAACATTTCTATATATATATTCCCAACTGGAAAATGTGAGAAAAAACACAAGGAATCGTTTTTATGTTTTCTATCAGTCCAGTGTGGAGAATCTCTTGGCATGTTGCCACATGAATTGACAATGTGTTTCTTCACCTACTTTATCACCCTATGCCATAAGGCACCTCGAGGCCTGAAGGAGCAGGTTTCTTGCTTTGCTTTGCCTCGCTAAACTGTAGCTAATCGCTGCTGGATCCATAGCTTAATTCTGAACTGGAGCCAGGACGCCTTGTATATTATGAATAAAACAAACACTACCACGACAGCGTTTATTAAGAAGCTAAGGAGCTTCTTAATGTCTCCAGTGTATAATCGTGATTTCACCGAGCGCAGTGCCCACATCCTCCTCCTCTCCGAGACACAAAGGACATCGCAGCCAAAACGCCTGAGCGCCAGAGCAGACTGCTCCCCACGGGGCTGCCAAGTGGGGGCAGCTCAAATTAAATGTAGTCACTGACAGAGAGGCTGCTCTTTCTTTTTCCATACAGATATCCTGCCCTTGGTGATTACAGGGCTTTTCCCTATGTTGGCAGTTTATCTGAAATTCGTCCATATGAACTGCAAATCAGATTTCACAGCACTGACCAGAGAACAATGTTGGGTAAATAAGTTAGAGATGTAGGCATCTTACAGCTGAAGCACATTGACTGTCAGCTTCTGGTTGGAGTGAGCTTCAATAGCAGATGGAGGACTCCTCCTCCTACTGTCATATGCTGTCCCTGTAACCAGCAACCTATTCTGGAAGCTGCTGAACTGAAACTGGATTTCCTCTGCATGTTTCACCAAGAGCCTCAAGGAGGCTGAGCACTCTGCACATGACGTTCCTCCTGGAACACGTACACATGTGTACACCTGCTCACAGACAAGGTGCTCGGCTTTGATTCTTCTGCAAATAAAAGGGTGCCCAAGAAACACTGCTATAAGCCTACGCATCAGCAAGAAAACCTGATGACACACACCTTTGTATCAAATGAATGAGGTCTCACACTTGCTCTATCTGTTGAAAATAGGTATCTGAGATGGATTTGATGTGTGACTCCATGTCTCACACCTCTTACAGATATTTTAGCCATAGAAGTGTTCAGACTCAATTGTGTCTGGATAAAGTGATGAAGACCTAAGCATCCGACAGGGTGCCTCCATCAGAAGCCAGTGCTGGGTCTCGGTATGGAAGTTCTTCCTCACGAGAGAGAATAATCCCCTTAAGAAGACACAGGCATTTCTGAGGGAAGACACAGGTTTCCCTTCCGTAGGCTGGTGGCACATTCCAAGCACCACCAGTGAATTAAATTAACAGACCATAATACTCACCACAATTACTTCAAACACATCAAGCAGCCCCAAATACCATGGACAGCGGCTTCACTCTGCATGCACTCTCAAGGGGCTGATCATCAGAGAATCACTTTTTTGTCTGGTGAGTTCTGGCTGAAGGATTCTCATTTTAGGTTTAAACGGCACTCCTTCTCTGGAGACTTCCTGCCCCCATCCTGGTAGAGCACGTGAGATGGGAGGTGGAAGCACGCCGGTTTTTGGAGAGCACAGCCAGTGGTTTACACACGCTGCAGCTTTTGCTGTCACAGCATGAGCTGTGACGGCAGGACGGGGGATGTGGCAGACCCAAGCCAAGGCGGCTATGCCAGAGCTGTGGGAATAACTTAAGGTTTGTCTTGCCACATTTCTGTAGTATCTCTGGGAGGCAGTGAAAATACTAAGGTGCCTTGCACATTATCAAGAAAGTATCTATTACAGATCCTGAATTTCTTCCCTGTTGAGAGCGAATGTCAGATTTTGTTTTGTTGCTTTAGGATACAGAAAGGCTTTTTGCATGGTAGAGCTTGCTAAGTCTTTTAAAACATACTATAAATGAACCCTGCAGGAACAAAATGTATTTGGCAGCTTAATCTGTTAGCCCTTCCTAGTAACTGTGTGACTGTTTCTTGTTTGTTTGTTTGTTTGTTTAATGAGTTGCCTCTGGCATTGGAGTTCTTTTACTTCGAGCATGACAGAAAGGCTTTGTAAACTACTCCCCTTGCTCTGAATCATAGAATCACAGAATCGTTTAGGTTGGAAAAGATCCTTAAGACCATGAAGTCCAACCATCCACCTAACACTAACAAGTCACCGACAAACCATGTCCTTAAGTGCCACATCCACACGTCTCCTCAGCACCACCACTTAGGAGACTCCACCACTTCCCTGGGCAGCCTGTTCCAATGCTTAACCACCCTTTCCATGAAGAAATTCTTCCCAGTATCCAATCTAAACCTCTCTGGTGCAACTTGAGACTGTTTCCTCCCATCCTACCACTTATTACCTGAAAAAAGAGACCAACACCCTGCCTGCTGTAACCTTTCAGGTAGTTGTACAGAGCCACAAGTTTTCTCCTCAGTCACCTTTATTCTAGACTCAACTGCCGCAGTTCCATCAGCCACTCCTCATGCGTCTTCTTTTCCAGCTCCTTCATCAGTCTTATTGCTCTTCTTTGAGCATGTTCCAGCAAATGAGTAACTTTCTTGCAGCGAGGGGCCCAAAACTGAACACAACACTTGAGATACAGTCTTGCCTGTGCTGAGCACAGAGGGACAATCCCTTCCCTCCCTAGTCCTGCTGGCAACACCACCTTTGATACAGGCCAGGATG